CAAGCCTGCAATCCCAACAGCTTGGGAGGCTGAGGCAGGAGGATCGAGAGTTCAAAAACCAATCTCAGCAACTTAGTGAGGCCCTAAGCAACTCAACAAGTCTGTCTTTAAATAAAATATAAAAAAGGGCTGGATATGTGGCTTAGTGGTTAAGTGCCCATGGGTTCAATCCTGGGTACCCTAAAGAAAAAAAGTTCATATGTGGCCAGGTGTGGCAGGTCATTGTCAGAAGACACCATGACTCTCCCTGGGGAATGAGTTTTCTAAGCCTCAAATACATTCACTAATACTGTCTCCTAATATGTAGATTTAATAGCCTGGTTAAATTAATCACCACCCAATCAAAAGCAACCAAAGCTTCAAACTTCAGGAGACCAAAGTCACACCCAGACCTGATTATCGCTATAGCTGTGTGAGGTGCTGAGCAAAGACTCTGGTCTGAGAAGTCTTCTCTCACAGAACTCCTGTGCCTACAGGGGAAGAGCAGGAACTGTGGCTAAGGGAACAGGACCCAGAATCTTGACTACATGGGTTCAAATTTCTGTTTTGTTACAACTGATGATCTTGGGCATTGGATCACTGCTCCACTTGGCTTGCCAGCTCTTGGTATTGTCAGCGCTAGATCTGAGGAATTCACACTTGTGCTCAGTTTCCTCCTCTACAAAGTGAGAACAGTAATAGTATCTACTTCATAGTATTATTTCAAGGTTTATATGAATATTTGCAAATGTTATAGAACCGTGCCAAATGCAAGATGAAAGCTTATTTTCTTCCATATAATTTTCTAAAACAGTTCATATTTCCAGCAATGTTTACCACTTCTATAAAAAGAATAATATATGTCATTACTATGCTTGTTTTGCATTTCTTCTTTGCTGCTAATACCTTTACAAACCTCTGATTTCAGTGAATTTCTTTTTTTTTTTTTTTCTTGGATAAAATGCTTAGATGTCAACTCACCACTACTGAATAAACCATTTTTATCAAGGCCGAATTCCATCAGTCTTGTATTCTTCCCTTCTCTCCCTTCTAATATTTATAAACTTTTGAGAAGAGAAATAGCCTGAATTAGAAAGTAGATAAAAGGATTTTCTTTCTTATGCCTGATTGCTGACAATTAAATTTGACTATCTTCATTCCACTAGCAACCTATAAAGAATTTTCTCAAACCCTCATAAATGTCTAAGTGACCGTTTTTATATTAACAACCTAAATTTCCTCCCTAATATTATATGCATGTAATATGTATAATTTTTGGTATGAAAACCAAAATGACAAAATGCTCAGTAGGTAATTTATTCTAATAATAAACTATTTTTAACTTAGCATGTTTCTAATTTGATTTTATAGACCCAAATAATCATGGGAGGGGACAAGTGGCTGTTGTGGGTGTTTGCTTTACACTTTGAATGCATTAACAGTGCTAAGTTGTAAAATAAAGATTACACTATAATTAGGTATATAGTAAAAGCATATAATCAGGTATGTGGTAAGCCATAAATCCAAACAGCATCCTCCATTAAGCCTCTATTCATACCTAGCAATATGCCAGGTGCTATAGATACCAAGAACACATCAACTCTGGTCTTCAAGCAACCTAATTATGTTTCTTGCAGACAACATAATGCTGTCGAGATTTATCTATATTGCTGTATGTGCTTGTAATTATTTCATTATTAGGTAGTATTCTACTACATAGGTAAAATTTTTTTTAATCAGTCACACATAGATGAAAATTTATTTCTGATGTTATTATAAGTAAAACTTAGGAACACCTATGTACAAGTTTTTATTTCTCTTGTGTATATAACTAGGAATGGAGTGTATACTTGACTTTATTAAAAAATACTGCCAATTTTTTTTTTTTACTAATGTAGTTATGAAATTTTTATATTCCCAACAGTACAAGAGCTCTTCGCTCCATATGGCTTGCCAGCTCTTGGTATTGTCAGTGTTTTTAATTTTTATCCTTGTTCAAAGGAAAAATTGGAAACCAATGCTTTAAAAATGTTAATCACAGAGGGAACTTGGTACACAAGAACTGATAGACTATTTGAGAAGTCAATTGGGGAATCCAATGAGAGATACTCAAATCCTATTCCAAGGCAATGTGAATGAACTAGAAAGATCATTTTTTCTCTTCACAGAATTACAGCTGAAAAACCCAAATAGATCATCTCATTTCCCCCACTCCAGCACCTTTTTGGATATCTCCAGAGGATACATAACCCACTCTGAGAATAGTAAATTTTAAGATTACAATCCTCTCTCTCTCTCAGGTTACAGATTATACCAGACACTGGAAAAAATTTCACACTAAGAAATATAAGCAAAAGATTGTTGAAATATATATGTATCACACTCATGCATATTTTGACAAACTTTTAAAGTTATATCACCCCCAGCTTTTTCTTTTTCTTTAACTTAATTTTAACCATTCTCCAAGCAGCATGAAACATTATTTACAGACCTTGACCTAATTGGACAAAGTCTGCCTGTTCAAAATGAATAGCTGGTTTTCATCAACCAAACCACAAGAGTTGAAGGGCCTTGACTCCCAGAAAGCGTAGGCAGATAAGTCGTTCACACTAACAGCAGCAAGGAGACTGTCATTGCAGAGCTCAGCTGGAACTTCACAACCTCCTGCATGAGGGAGGTAAACTTACATCCCTTGGCTCAACAGGAGAGAAGGAGAAGTGCAGAATCCTGCTTGGTTGGCTAATGAAGCTGCCATTTCTTCTGCCTCAAATGCTACTCACCCACACAGCCCCCTTTAAAACTATTAAAGTCCTACTAAAATTTTCCAGAAGCTCTTGGTTCCTCCAACTAGGCCAAATTCTCTTCATAATGCTTATTTGTATTTTTCCTTTTTGGCCTTTTCACAGTTTATAATTATGTTTATTTTAATGTGTAACTTATTAACATCTACCGCTTTTTCCCCCACAAACTAGGTTAATTGCATGAATTTTTCTTATAACTATACACTTGGCACCTAGAATGCTCAGCACATAAAAAGCACTTAAAATTATTTGAATGACTAATTTATAGTTAACTAAAGCATTACCTTTTCTGGTAATACTACATTATCAGGACTGACATGCCTCTAGGCTTTACATAAATTGGAAAATAAAGGTGGTTACTTCTTCATCATTTATTAGGAAAAAATCAAACTGCAAATAATGGTGTCATGGTTGCTTGGCCTTTTCCTGCCCCAAATTCCACCAGACTGTTCTCTGCAGGGTCTGATCTATTTTATCTATCCATACTCTCTAAATTCAGAAACCATGAAAAATATGAAGTTTTGCAGAACAAGAGATTTTCCTCCATTAGCATGCAATAAATAAGCAATCCACATCATTTCAGACTTTAGCCTGAAGGACTTGGCAATTTGTAAGGGAAACACAGTTATCCAGTAAGTCCCAGGTCATCATCTTCTATGGCAGAAGAAATGGTTATGCTATTTCACTGAGATGAGGTTTTCATAGTCCTCATGTCACGCTCATGGACTTTATGGTCAGAAATAGGCAGACAATTGCGTACACCTAAAATCCAAACAAAGCTACTCTCTTCTCAGTTTATAAGTATAATATATTACATACAACTCAAGTGGCTCCTGGACCACCCACCTTTCCTTCAACTACCTGCCTACTGGAAATCTCAATGAAATATTGAGCAAATACAGCTTAACAAAATTAGAATCATTATGCACTGGGCCCCTGATGTTCCATTCAGATTACACATAAAACAAAATATACTGGAATGTATTCTATACATTAATGGTATAAACAATAGGATCAAAATTCAAGAATATGAAAGTATTTTAAGGTTTGAATCATTAACAAAATACTAGAAAGGTCTTGGGAAGGGCTACTACTTTCTTTCACTTAGTCATTATATACAAATTGAGACCCTACTGTATGTCAGGCACTGCTTAGCACACTAAAGAAATACAAATATCTCCTTAAAATAACCAAATTTTATTAGCCTACTGTTTATTTGAGGAGATATTCCAAGGTTCATTTCCTCACATTCATTTAAATAAAAGCTTTGCTCTAAATACTGAAAAATTGTTCTTACCAAAGTGCTGTGTTCTTATTTTAACCTGTCTTACAAATTTATATATTCTGATAAAAAGTTACTTCCATCTTGAAATGAATTCTGATAAATAATCTGAGGCTTAGTTTTTTAAAAAAATTAAAAAGGGGGCCAAAATAGGTTTATTACCAAACCACAACAGAAAGGAATTTAAAAAAAAATGAATTAAGGTAAGCTTAATTATCCCATTACTCTTCTACAATAAATATTAGGAAAATTACAAATTCCTCTGGTGCTCAGATCAGTATCACCCACCCATGGAAATTTATCCAAATTTTATCTCAGAAAACTCAGTATGAATCCACAAGAAATCCCACAGATCTCCCATAATCACAAACAGAAAGAAAAATAATCCAACAAAATCTAAGCTTAATAAAACAGATGCCTCTTTCTGACAAGCGATGGCTGTCAGGCAAAGCAATGATTTGTGAACCAAATCTTTCTCATGTTACAGAACGTGCCAATATTTATCTCAAGACAAACTGTTACTAATTATTGGCAACGGTCTAGAAAAAGCAAGTCAATGAAACTCAAGCTGCTAGTAATGACAATTATGCAAATACTAAGAATTGTTCTGAAAAAAAAAAAAAAAAAATCCGCAGAGGACAGAGCCTTCCTACCAAGGAAGGCATGAACAATCAAATGTGTCTGCCAGACCCTCTGCAGAAACTCCTAATGATCTGGAAATACATTAAGTTTGAACCTCACTGCCCTTCCACCAGAAGGCAACCAGAAAAACAGAGGCACCTCAAGTTAATAAGAATCAGAAGGTGACAACAGAGGAATCAGAAAAGAAGAATGGAAGAGCAGACATCTACAAAATGATTATGACCCTCCTGGAACCCAAGAATCAACTGTTTAAAATGGTAGTTGTAATAATAACACGAATATTTGGTTTTCGTTACCTGACAGGCAGATATAAGTTAAATATTCGCCTTGACCTCCAGTTGCCAAAAAAGGAATCTTTTTCTTTGTCCTCCTCTTGACTTGGACAGCTCCCAGCATCCTTTCATCAAGAGGTGCAAAAATTTCCTTGCTGATGGCAGATTTGGCACTCATCGTAGAACAAGTGAGGAGGAAAGGGAGTCAATGTTCTAAAGAAGGAAAAGAAAAGGAAAAGTTGGAATTGACAATATTGTAGGGGCTCATAAAATAATGAGCACCACACTGATTCACAGGAGTACTTTTCAATATGCAGTTTAACTTCTTACTTGCTTGAAATGCATTTCAGAAACATTAAAAGCAAGGTCTTCGTATATGTGTTAGCCATGGAAAAATACAAACAAAATGAGGATGGCTCTTTACTCCCTGAAAATGTCAAACACAATGTGAGTGGAGCCACACGGAATGAGATCTGAGCAGCTAGTTGATTTCTACCCCAATTGTATCTCACTCTAACTGGCAGTAGGCACCCACTTTACACGCATTCTGTAAGGAATGCGATTTCACATTTCCAGTTGAGAAGGCTTTCCACCAACCAACAATCCGTAAAAGTTCTTTATGTCCCTTCTACAGCTCCTTTAACTCTAATAATGTAAATCTATTTCCCTAATTCCACTTATAGTGGAAATAATTATATCATCTTCTACATAATAATTATATATGCAACAAAAGATCATTAATTTAATCACTCTTCAGCTGTTTTTGATCAAGCCAAGTAAGGAATTTATTTATTAGCCTCATGCACCAGGCCCTAGTTTCCAGCCCTCCTCTGCATCTTGTTGCCATACTCTGGAGTCTTGCCAAGTTCTCCACATTTTTCTTCAGCCAAAGTGGACACAGAATTCTTTAAAACTATCTGACTAACCCAAAGTATTTTGGAAATGTTACCAGGCAGTTCCCACATGTTCTACTCTTATGGTTAACTGGCAGTGGGCGCCCAATAATTTAGAAAATATAGCAGTATGTTGCTGACTCACATAACCCCGCCCCCCACTGCCCAACTTACATGCACAGTTATATTTAGTTTTCCAGTAGTTGTACTTCCCTGATGATCTCAATTCTGCTTGTGTCTATTGTATTCAAGGTCAATTTGAACACTAATTCTTACTCGAGCAACTTAGAAAACGTTCTCTATTCCATCACTCTATCCATAAATGATCTATTTAATCACTCACCACCCAGCATGTGTTTGGACAATTAGAAAATCAGAATTAAAGGTGCAGAGAGAGCCTTTGGGTTTGTCATGCAGGTTATATTGAGAACTCAGAGATCCTGCACATGGATCAGTAGCACAGCTATACATAGTAACAGCAGCTCAAAGAGTTGATCAGAAAGCTGTAAAATTGAGCCAATCAGTGAACAAACATCTACTACATGCACTTTATGCTTAATATTAAAGATATAAGAAAAAATTAAACTACCATCTATGTCTTCCAAGAGTTGACTGCTGACCATATAGAAGGTTTCACTTAAATACCAATGATTTATCTGAGGAATAGATGAGAGGATTTTTCCGAGTACAAGATTCACAAATGCTACCAACACAGCCAGCCTCCTGTAACTTGTCCACACCTATACCTTCTTGGTGGGAAAATATATATTAAAAACAGAAAGTCCCTCTAGTTAAAGAAATTTCTCCTAGTCTTAATTCCATAATGAAGCATGTTTCCCTAATGGCTCCAAGAAACTATATCAACTTATAACACCAAAAATACATACCTAAAGATGTAGACATTAGAGATCTACCCAGATCTCCTTGTGCTTGGTGCACAACATTTTTATCATTATCACCAGGTTCTTCATGCTGGCCAAGAAAATGACAATGTACTGACCACTAAACTGACATACTGTCATTTCCTACAGGTTAGCAAACAGAACATCCCCCATGATTTATATGTTCTTAGGGGGTTATTACATTTTTTTTTTTCTTTTTGGTACTAAGGATTGAACCCAGGGATGCCTAACCACTGAGCTATACCCCCAGCCTTTATTTATTTTATTTAGAGACAGGGTCTGGCTTAGTTGCTAGGTGCCTCAACAAGTTGCTGAGGCTGGCTTTGAACTCGAGATCCTCCTGCTTCAGCCTCCCAAGCTGCTGTGCCACTGCAACTGGTTACAATTTTTTAACTATGATTTTTTTTAATGAGGATTTTTTTTTAAAGATACACTCTACCTCCAAGGCCTCTCACTTCTCACCATTTAAGGACATGTTTAAAAAGAGAGAGAGCTCAGTATTCATGCAGTGGCTTCAAACCATTCTGTAAGCAAGGAAGAAAGACATTCCCCAACACATCAGGCACTCCCTGACCAGTGCCTCCCAACTGGCATGGCTTTTGCTTTTCCATCTTAGTTCGCATTTTTCTAAAACTAGTTAAAAAGAAATAAAAAGATCACTTTATTGTGCAAAAATCCATCAGAAAAATAAGAAAACAGATGCATAATTTTACCAAATTCTTAGGAAATCCTTTTTTTTCTTTTGGAAAAACTATTGAGAAATGAAAATGACCTTTTGTTGTTTTTATCATACTGATATTCAATGGCCAATAACAAACAGGGGGGGGAAGGGTGAGAGAGAAAAAAATCAGTAACTTCACTGAGTTTTGAAATCAACAAACTCAGGTTCAAATTTTAACTGCAACACATAAAACCTGTGTGATTTGTGTAAATCTCAAAATCCCTGACCCTAAGTTTACTTACTACAACATGAAGATATCTTCACCTACTTCCTAGAATTAAAGAACTAAAATGAAACAATGTGTGCAGATCATTGATTCCAGTACCTGAATAATTTTTTTAAAAATGCTTAGTTGTGGTGATTTTTATTAACTTTCCTACTATAATAGAATAATAAAAGAGCCTCTGAACTTGTATAAACTGAACAAATGTAACCACTCACACCAGAAGGTATTTATAAAAGTGAAACCCAACTTTATTCACTAAAGCCTCACTTTTCTCACTCATGGGCATGAAATTCTCTATGTATGATAAATGGTCTCTTAGATGGCAAGCTGTGCACTAAATGTTATGAGAATGAAGAATTTATAGACTTCAACAGGAAATTCACTAGTAGATTATCAGATTCATTCTATGAAAAATCATCAAAAGCTTTTGTTAGGGCAATGATACTAATGAGCCTATGTAGAGCACATACATGTTGAGTATGTTTTCAGTGTCACACTGGGAATGTAATGTAGCATTGATAAGAAGGGAAAGAATAAGAAAGTAAAAGGGTGACTCTTGTAGTTGTGTGACAATAACTTTGAAGAGTGTCTCTACAAGAATCCCAAATCAGGTTGTGTTTGTGAGTCCAGCATGGAGGGCTTTTAAAATGCACAGACTCCTGCACCATCTTTCATAACCACCAAATCAGAATCTTAAAATCTGTATTTCAAACAACTCTCTGATTCATACTCTTCCATGCAGTCATCCTGCCACCTAATTTAAAATCCATTACCCTAAAGAGAAACTTTGGGTCTGGACTAGCAAGGTGGAAATAGGAATGAAAACGAAGAATCAATTCATGAGAGAATACAGGCAGACAGTGCACAGGATTTCTTTTTTCTCTTCATTTCACCAAGCAGCTGTAATGAGTTCTTAAATCTTTGTTGGTAATTCAATGTCCAGTCCAAGACCAGGGCCCCATTTTAAGGAAGCAAGATAAATACAAAAGCAATCATGCACCAATGACCACTTGTTACTCCAATCTACATGACCCACGGAAGCTTTTTCTTTCCCAGGTCCATAGCTTCTATAGGACACAATTACAAAGCTTTTTCATCCAAGAAGCCAACCTAGTATTGATTTGCAAGTCAAAGCAACTGGCTGCCTTGAGTGGTAGTTGCAGAAACTAATCACAGTTCTGATCTTCTTCAAGGTCTTCTTCATTCATGCTTTTCTTACTTTAAGCCATCTATTTAATACATACCCACTTAACTGGTGCATGTCTACTGTAGTGGGATGGTTTTCCACCACTCAAGTAACCAGAAAATAATATAACTATTTAGGCAAGTGTTAGAAACTGAAGAAAACTCAGGGGCAGGGCAGGTGAAATGCATAATTCAGGGCATACAGGTGTAAGGTTTTGTATTCAGATGATAACACTGTTGGTTTTCAGTAGAACTGATATTTGTCCTCTACTGGCAAGAGACTAGGAAGGAGTAGGGACCTTCAGCCAACCAAAAACCACCACTGACAAGGCATTCATTATCATGCAGGGGATTCTAGGGGAGCAGAGCCTTAAATATTTCTCATCTGAGAGGAAAGAGAAGTGCCATTCATTCAGCTTAATACTATCAGATCCTTGATTTATCTAACATCACTAACTCTTCTCTTTATCTAAGATTATTAACTTCTCTCTTCTAATCCCATGTTTAACATACAGCCTTTCCATCATGTTTTGGCCCTGGTTGTGCCAACACAGGTATGATGGACTGTGTGCCAGCTAAACTCTGTGCTGTAAATGAGTAACCACAATTCCTGGTTTTACACATCAGCCTCATGAGGCAGTTAATGTGATTCAACTCTGAGGCAGATGTACTTGATATGCTGAGAGCATATGTCAGTGTCTCTGAAGCTCAGAGCCAAGGTGATGTCATCCTGGAAGACTTTGGGAGAAAATCAGCTGGTCTTCCCTAGTGCATGGGAACACCAGTGAGATGAACCTAAACAATTTAGAAATGAGAGAAATAAGATTACTGTCTAAAATTGGATTTCTCTACATTGCCACTTTGTTTTTAAAACAGATTTTGAATTGTAACTTCAACCCCTCACCAATAACCTGTGAGACTAGTCATGCCTCCAGTTTAATTGCCTTCTTGACTTTAAAGATGTGCATCTATCTGTAGACTGAACATTTCCACCAATACCTAACAATGATTCTTCCTTTTCCCTCAAATCCTTCAGTTCCCCATAACAACCATTCAATTGCCAAGCCTCCTATGCATTTGATTTAATATTTCTGGACTCCAGTTTTTTTCATTCTAACTTCTTCTGCCTAAGTTGCAGTCTTCACCATCCTGGGCCTGAATGATTTTCATGGCTCCTCTAAAGGGACTCCCATTTTGCTCCAACTTCAATGCAATCAACCCTCTACATTGTCCAATGTCATTCTACAAGATGAATATGATTGAAGCATAATTGTATTTAATTTTTT